ATAAGCACATCATATAAAAATTCTCTTTATAAGCATATTTATTTTAAAACCAACTATTATAAACATATAGAAAAAAACTTCTTTATAAACACATCTTAGTAAAATTCTCTTTACAATCACACAAATCTTTATCCCGAGGGGTGTGATTATAGGGAGGTTAGACTGTATTATTAAAAAAAGTAAAAGAAAAAATACAATCAAAAATTCTAAAAATTTCGGATCCGAATTAGCCCAAATCTGAAATCTGAGAAAATAGTATAGAAGTATAAATAAGAACCGGTGAATAAACTTAAATTTCTGCAATTTAATATTTGTTCTCAAACAAATCTATGATATTTGCTGATTTTCTTATCCACGAGTATTGGTTTCAAACTTTTAATCAAAAGACTGTCGATATTGATTATATCGAAATGAAACATTTAATTACGTGGATCTATTACTCAATTGTATAACAATGGATGACATTTTAATAATATTATTTATTTTGAAATAGAAATACATTAGACGGTTTGCGCTCATGATCCAGTAAGGTTGATGTCAGAGTCTCAAAAAAATAGGTATAATAATTAATTTCAGAAAAAAAAAACAGTTATAATTATTCTCTAAAAAGTAAAAAAAAATAGGGACAATTATTCTTAGAAAAAAAGTAAGAATTGTTCCCCACACAAGAACGCTGAGTAAAATCGGTGCAAATTTCAAATGTAGTTAAGAACGTCAGTTACTAGCTGAGATAGTATGATCACGGCCGATTTAGTTCACACCTCAAAATTTAAGACATCTAATTTTTAAGGTATACACTTGTAATCAATTATGTATCAGTATGTTGAAGACTAAGAAACATTAATATTCTAAATTTGGGTAGTTTAAATTTTAGAGCCTGGACAGAATCGGCCGTGATGTATATTTAGGCTTAAGATTTTGCCACTCTACGATATCTATAATCTATCTGATATTTCCCTTATCAAATATGAAAATACATTTAGTTATTTGGATATTGCTTTCACTACAGCATATTTTATACTATTGTAAAATATAAACAACCTGTTACAGTAAATCCGTTAAATTATTAGCCTACCTGTTTTAGCCAGTGTTTAAAATTAGTATGCACAAGATACATTGTGCAAAGTTTTTGTTTAATATGCAAGTATTTTGTAAAGAACTTACGCAAATTTTTTTTTAATGCGCAAGCAAATTTGAAAAAAATTGTACTATATATATACGTGTAAATATGTGCATTAATCGTTTTTTTTTATTTATTTATTTTATTTTATTTTATAAAAAAAAACGCTTGTGTAAGTAATTTTTTTTTCTGAATTTTTAATACCTTATTGCTAAATAAGTTTGATTTATAAAATTTCCCATTGTCCCGTGACAAATAATTTTGGGGCTTGGATAATACACGATCATGGAAACTGTCCTGAAGCTTGCGGCTGGAGCCAAAATACGCGTTATGTACAGTATATCTATCCCAAACAGCCGTAATACTATTATCGTTGTGTTATGACTATTTTGGCTATATTAAGTGCAATTATTGAATGTGTGCCAGATTTGTGATGAATTAATTAGCCAAATAAAAATATTCTAATAACGATAATAAATTTTAATATAACGAAACACCATTTCTAAAGCTATTTAATATTCGGATCGTGTTCAAAAGTATATTTCCCTTCGTTTCTTCATAACACTTAGGCTCTAATATTATTGTTTTACATTATATCATATATATTAATGGCTCAAATTCTATGTAATCTCATCATTCAATTTATCTAAACACAAAAATGAAGATTTCCGCCCATATGAATGCTTACTTATTTTCAAGATGCGCCACTAATTTGTTAATATTAGGATGATTCAGAATTAATGTTCAGGTTTCGAATTATATTATGCCATATTTATTTTGAAATTGTGATTTATGATAATAATATATCATCAGAAAAAATACATCTATTTCGTTTTTTGTGGTTTCGGAATTTCAAAACAGAAGTGGGATTTTTTTAAACTCCCACTTATTTTTGAAATAATTTAATTTTAACTCATCCTATTGTCGTTACTTTCAAATAGTTGATTTATCCTTAAAACTTAGGCTAACCATTTTGAAAGCACGAAAATTATGAAATATGCCGATGAGGCAGGTTCACTTATTAAGGAGTTTCAGAATTAAAAAAAAAATAGCGTATTTTGGAAATAAATGAGAATTTAAAAAATCTATATTTGTTTATCAAAGTTTGAAACAGAAAATGAAATGGGACTCTCATTTGACAAATACGTAAAATTTCTTCGGATTAAGTTTATTATAGACGACCCTTTCATTTGGCACGAGGAAATGACGAATAAATTAACTAATACAATTAATTAGTAAACACTTATTTGTCACACCTCTGTGCCAAATGGAAACGCCTGTAGATCTATGAATCTGACCTAACACCAAACTAACATAACCCTAACCCCTAACTTTAACATCCTAATTGGATAAAAATCACGAGGGGAAGAAATTTTTGTGGGAGAGCTACCGTACATCCAAATGGATGAGGTCGACTATAATTGGAATTTTTCAGAATTTTGTTTTTGCACAGTGCATTTTCTAATGCTTTTGCTTCTCCTAACCCAAGAGTAATTCTTAGCAAAAACTAAGGAAGTCAGTGTGGTGTTTTTGCAAAGTGCATTTGCTAATGATTTTCTTCCTTCTGATCCAAGATTATTATACTAAAGATTCAAGTGGTGTTCTTGCAATGTGCATCTGCCAATCCCTTTTCTTTTTCTCCTTATGATTCCTTTTTAAGGTCATTATCATAGAGTTTTAACATTGTTAAAGAGGTGTTCTTGCAAAGTGCATTTGCCAATGCTTTTCCTTCTTTTGATTCAAGTTTATTATAACCAAGATTCAAAGAAGTCAGCGTGGTGTTCTTGCAAAGTGCATTTACCAATGCTTTTACCCCTATTAATTCAAGACAAAGACTCAAAGAAGTCAATGTGGTGTTCTCGCAAAGTGCATTTGCCAATGCTTCTCCTCCTTCTGATCCAAGATCATTATCATAGAGATTTAACATTGTTAAGGAGGTGTTCTTGCAAAGTGCATTTGCCAATGCTTTCCCTCCTTCAGAATCAAGTTTATTAACATTAAGATTCAAAGAAGTCAGCGTGGTGTTCTTGTAAAGTGCATTTGCCAATGCTTTTCCCCCTTCGAATCCAAGTTTATTCGAATCAAGACTCAAAGAAGTCAGTGTGATGTTCTCGCAAAGTGCATTTGCAAGTTCTTTTCCTCCTTCTGATCCAAGATTATTAAAATCAAGGCCCAAAGAAGTCAGTGTGGTGTTCTTGCAAAGTGCATTTGCTAATGCTTCTCCTCCTTTTGATCCAAGATTATTATAATGAAGATTCAAAGAAGTCAGTGTGGTGTTCTCACAAAGTGCATCTGCTAATGCTTTTCCTCCTTCTGACCCAAAATCATTACCACGGAGATTTAACTCTGTTAAGGAGGTATTCTTGCAAAGTGCATTTGCTAATGCTTTTCCTCCCTCTGGCCCAAGCTTATTATAATCAAGATTCAAATCTTTCAGCGTGGTGTTCTTGCAAAGTGCAACTGCTAATGCTTTTCCTCCCTCTGGCCCAAGATTATTATCATCAAGATTCAAATCTTTCAGCGTGGTGTTCTTGCAAAGTGCATTTGCCAATGCTTTTCCTCCTTCTGATCCAAGATTATTGTTCCAAAGATTCAAAAAAGTCAGTGTGGTGTTCTTGCAAAGTGCATCTGCTAATGCTTTACCGCCTTCTAATCCAAGATTATTAATCCAAAGATCCAAAGAAGTCAGTGTGGTGTTCTTACAAAGTACATTTGCCAATGCTTTTCCTCCTTCTGAACCAAGATCGTTATCATAAAGATCCAAAAAAGTCAGCGTGGTGTTCTTGCAAAGTGCATTTGCCAATGCTTTTCCTCCTTCTGATCCAAGGTTGTTATTAAAGAGAATTAACACTGTTAAGGAGGTGTTCTGGCAAAGTGCATTTGCCAATTCTTTTCCTCCTTCTGGCCCAAGATTATTAAAACCAAGGCTCAAAGAGGTCAGTGTGGTGTTCTTGCAAAGTGCATTTGCTAATACTTTTCCCCCTTCGGATCCAAGTTTATTTCCATCAAGGTTCAAAGAAGTTAGCGTGGTATTCTTGCAAAGTACAACTGCTAATGCTTTTCCTTCTTTTGATCCAAGATTATTAAAGCCAATATTCAAAGAAGTCAGTATAGTATTATTGTAAAGTGCCATTGTTAACTCGTTTAAATTTTCTAATCTACACTTGCAATGAAGATCCCAAGTTGAAGCATTTTTCTGATCCTCAGTGTTATATTGGTAGCATTCAATAATTTTTTCATAAAGTTCTAACGCTTTGAGAAATTTTCCTTGCTCAAAACATTCACGTGCATCCTTTCTCATATTCTCAAGATCGTTATAGCCTTGTGTTGGCATATTTGAATTTATCGGATAAGATGAATTTACGTGTACGTTTGTATTATTTTGAAAAGTTTCGCTATTTTGAGCTGATGTCTCAACTGAATTATGTCGACTCAAAGTCATTTCACAATTGTTTAAAATCAACGCTTTTAAATTAGAAACAATGGTCTGAATTTCTGGACGACTATTAGTCTCATTTTGCAAACAGTCTATCATTGATCAATTACGAAAATCTGTTATTAAAATGTCATAAAACATGAATCCTCAAAAAAAAAAAATTTTTATACCTTCATAAATCTTAATATATTTTTCTATAGGGCCGACAATATTTTCAGTAAATTGAATGTTGCAGTAAATCTCTTGCATAAGGAAGCCAACATTGTATACATCGGATTTTTTATTAAATCTGAGATGTTGATATCTAACAATTTGTCCCTTTAACTTATTTGAAAGCCCGTAATCTTCAAGTTTTATATTTTTATTATGTATAAATATATTGTCCGAACACTATTGAAAATAGATATTTTTAATTTAATAGCAAATCAAAAGAAAAGAATTCAAAATTACAGTATAATGAAAATATTACCAATCCAAGATTATATATTCCTTTAGCATGTAAATATCTAACAGCACTTGCAATTTGCAATGATAATTTAATCATATCATTCCATGAAAGGTGTTGTGAATTTTCTTGTAAATATGTTCTTAAAGTTCCACCGTTGACGTTTTCAAAAATCAAAATATAAGGTATGATACTTGAATCTCCTTCATATGTCATCAATACATATATATATAATAATTAACGTGAAATTCATTTTAAACTAGGATATGTATTGTCCTACCTTCTTTTCTAGTAATACCATTAAAACGTATATTGTTGGGGTGTACGCCCACTCTATGATATAACTTAAGCTATGATAATTTATTAATGATATATTATAATGCTAAAATATAGTATAATAATAAACATAATTTGATGTAATGTAGAAATTACCTCGTTAATGACCTCATTAATAATTAGATCATTATTTTCGAATGATTTTAATATAACGGTAACTTTATTCTTAAAAACAGCACGATAAACTCTTGTAAATCCCTCGTTTTTAATTAATTCAACGATCCTAAAACGAGTATAATCATAAATAATAAGGTTTTTTCAATGATATATTTTTGAAGTTGTTGAATTTGGTTGCTTGTTGCGCTCATCTTAAGCTCTACAATAAACAAATTGGAAGAATTACGTACGTACATTTTCAGCCACATGCAGATAGGATTTTATCCTAGTTGCACAATCGTTATTATTCCGCAATTTGGTAAAATCACCTGATATTTTATTTATACGTATAAGATCGTCGATTGACGATTACATAAAATTAATACGCGACATTGTAACTTCAATATACGTTGTTGCAGGATGTAGACAGTTAGTGTTCCGCAAAAAAGGATCCGAACGGATCCGGAACACTATAGACAGTAGAGTTTAATTATAAAAGATGTAGACCATACAGTAATAAAGATATTCAAAAAAAAACTTAATATGCGTGTTGCAGTATTTCAATAAAACTAAATAAGAAATATACAGTACAATATAAAATATGAGAGACATGAGCAGCGGTTAATTTTATTAGACTCATCGGAAATTATCTTAATGCATATGGATTAAACACATAATCTACTAAAATTTTCGTTAATGCTAAAATTCTATTTTCTGATCTAGTTGTTTTACTTTCAGTATGGTGCATGTAGCCTAGAACCAACTTCACGTGACTATAAGTGGCCAAAATTTTAAAAATTTTTATTATAAAATTTCGTGTTACATAAAAATTAACCAATTAAATTTTATATAACAAAAAATTTATATTAGTATCAAAATTTTAGATATATTAGATATTTTGGTTAAAAACTTTGCTTTAAATGAACTAATAAAAAAATATATTTCTGTAATAATATAATATAAAGTTTGAAAAATTAATTTACATGATAATTTTTTCTTTTTATGATAATAATATTATTAGTTATAGTTATTTTTATTTTACATAATTATAAAAAGTCATGCAGGGTTGGTTCTAGACTACATGCACCATAGGAATTTGATTATCAAATAATAAATCAGCTTATGAGACAAATGGAATGTTAAATAAGTCCACATAAGCATTACTTTCTATTTTCAGCTTCATTAATAAATACATTAGGCCCCTTTTGGAAAAGGAAAATTTGGTTAAAATTTTAAAAAAAATTCAATACTGACTTTATGATTTACCAAGTATTATTTTTTGGTCATCCAAAAAGCAATATATAATAAATTTCACTTATAAACCTATCAAAATTAAGCAAAATAAATAAATAAATAAATTATATGCTATAAATACTATATATTCAAGTATCTATTCCTGTATTTGATAATGAATTCATTTTTTTAACTCACCAAAATGATCACCAAGCACACAGAGAGTAGTAAAAACAGTATGTGAACTAGTGCTCCGAAAGGATCAATTTAGTTTAGTTTTTGATTTGAATCAAATGACGTTAGCTTGAATCAATAAATATTTAAATGAATTTTTTTAATTTGAATCAAATACATAAATCAATAAATATTTAAATAATTTTTTTTTCATTTTCAATTCTCTTTTTATTATTTTTTTATTCAAAATCAACCAAACATTTTCATTAATATTGTCATCAACTGAATCCACTCAATTTGAGCTTGATTCAGCCACTTCTAATGAATTTCAACCTGCATCAATATCTTTTCAAAGTAGACCAGTAGAGAGAATTTTTTCTTAAGGAGCTGATCTTGTTGTTTCAAAATGATGTAGTCTTGAAATAAATGCTATTTGTGTATGCATGTGTTTAAGAGCCTGGTGGGAAAAGAACTTTTAAGAACTTATATAAAAAATAGTATGCATTGCTATAACTTTGCTTAATTTGCAAAATTTATAATGAATATGCTTATATTAAATTATAAAATTGGTGTAATATTGTAGTTTTCAAAAAGAATTTTAATAATAATTAATATATACTTTATCTAAATTATAAAATTCTTGTTTTATTTGCTTTTTATGAATTAATTTTATAACCTAATCTGTGCGGGTTGGGTTCAGGTTCAACCCTAAACCCAACCCTAATAACCCTTTCAGAGCACTAATATAAACTAATAATAAAGTAAAAAAAAGTGAGCTTTTAATATAATAAACAATTTATTTAAAATTGTAAGTAAAGAGTATGGCGACAGTGAAGTGGTCGAGTTGTCATCCCCCAAGTAGCAAGGTCTAGAGTTCAAATTCTACCGGCGATGAAAATTTGAAAACTACTTCTTGTATATCCCTTCTGGATATGTCAACTTGATCTGCAGTGGTGTCGATGCTATAACTGTGTGGTAAAACACCAATTATTGGGAGTACTGCTTAATTGTAGTATGATTTTCAAGACTGTCAGGCTGACCAGATTAGGAAGAACTACTTGCAAATCCCGAGTATAGTGTTTAATTCAGAAAAGGAATAAAGAATAAAGGATTGGGACCCCTTGAAAAATAGTCTGGAGTAAAAATTGAAGGAATACAACCTGCTTAAATGCGGTGTAAACACAAGATAAATCCATATAAGGGTTAGGATAGACATATAAAGTAGGATTATATAGTTTAACTGTTAACTGTATATAGCAATATGTACTTCATCAAAAACTGTTCGAAACACAACACAAACACAAACACTAGTCTTCTACGTGTCTAAGATTCGAGGATAAGACATTAAAAACTTGGGTAACCAGGTTGGGTGGTCCTCAAAATAATCAGCCACCCCTGACTTTCCTATTTTCAAAAAACCTATTTTCGATGGCAACTTATCTAATACTAGACCTATCAGCCTTATCATCAGCAAAAATAAATAGGCGTAAACCTCCGCAAGTTTTTACGCGAGCGTAAACTTACGAAAATTTATGATTAGTTCGGAGTATTACGTAGGTGTAATAATTACGAA